AAAATGGAGTTATACTCTACCACAGTGATCAAGTTTTATCTTTATATCGATGAAGACAAAAGTATTCCTATGTCATAACATGACTGTCCAAAGAGTATTTTGTAATATGTACCAGTTAAGTTGGTGAAATTATGTGTTTAGCATTGAATAAAGTTGAAAGAGGGTACACTATAGGATCTAAATATGTGAGGGGTCATTAAAGTATCCTGTTGCCTTTGACACCCCACTAAATTAATTGGCATTTTCATAACACACGTTCTTCCTTCAGGAATGCCTTAAAAATATAAAAAATGATGAAGATTATAACTTCGAACGGGAGAAAGATATAATTCATCACCGAAAGTCTTGTAGCTTGATAACCATAAGGATAACTCTTTGAAGTTTGCTACAACGGCAGCCTCACTTCGTTGTCTTAACTGACAGGTACTTAACAGATACATTCGAGCATTCCAGATTGTCCAGTTAGTCACTATCAAGATCATATTGCCATGAAGAAAACAAAGTCTTTTCAGTACATTTTCATTCTTCAGTAACACTTAGATTAGTAAGGTTGTGCTCATTTGGAAATCGATATATCCTGATAAACATTTGGCTCATGAACTTAAAATGACCTAAATCGAAAAGGGAAAAAATCTAAAGAGGTTTTCTCTCCTAAAATTTAGATAACATAAAAAAATATTCTAAAGGAAATGTATTTTATAACACTTAACTGAAGATTAGGAATCCAGACAAAGCTGTGTACAACAGAGGGTAGACTGGTCGGTAAACTTATTTTAACAAAAATATAGTATAAGTTCAAACGATCTGATATAGTGTCATCGTGCTTTTTTATAAATGTATTTGTAAAGTTTGTAATGTGCTCAAAGTTATATTAAATGGGTAAGTATACCAGAAGTATATTTTCTCGTGTTTCAGTATTGAGATTAAGTCCATTCCTCTTAAAATTAAAATTCGTGTTACACGGACGAAGAGAATAGATAACGAAAGTTGAAAGCAATGTAACTCTTACATGAAATATGCAAAGAGTAAAGGGGTGGTTTAAACTGTGGAGTCTTTATTTATATATGCAAGGATAGATCTAACGTTTTTTTATAAAACAGAAAGTATGGTAATATTTAAAAGGCGTTTCAAACTGGATTTGTCATAGAAAACCTTTACTTTCACGTACAGTTTTACTCCTTAGTATCACCGTGCCATCAAGGATTCAACAACATTTCTGAAAATGAACATTCTCGTGTAGTTCTATTCCACATACATCATAATGATGATCTGTTTTTAACTTGGGGACGTTTCACGTGCAATTTATTAACGAAATAATCTACAAACGTCACACAAAGCGCACATTTAAGAAATGTATCTTTGAGCATTATCTGACATCGTAATCAATAGGACACTGCAAGCTTAATTTGCGTGAACCTCGTAAACTCAGACTACAGCTAGCAGAGATCTCTTTCAAAATTATCTACAAGGTAAGTCCGAATGTTACGAGAGGTGTTTTGCTTGTAGTGGAGACGCTAGTTATTTCTACAACACAGCCCCGAACTCTGTGAGCAGAAAACTTTTGTTTAGTCTCTTAATCAACCATTATCCTAGACTCTTCACTAGTCGTTTGCTTCTGTTTTCAGCCTTACGTATCCTTTCTGTACGTTTTACGAGGTAGCTTTTTATTCTTTCATTCTGTACGCCTGTCAAATTGATACTGAACCAACTTGCTTCTAACTAAATAACAATTTTCGCCTTATTGAGCTATAAACCCTTATTCCCATTGTAACTTTAACCACTTCTGAGAAAATGTATCATTTAGTAGTAGCCTGCTATACGTCTTATTAAATTTACATACAACTTTACAGCCACTGAAGATGATTCGTCTATTAAGAAAATGTCCTCTACTGAATGCTCTTTTATTTTCTTTGCTTCCTATTGAGTACATCCGTTTTTCATTTATTTGATCAAGATCCATTTAAAAGCATTGTTTCCTACTGAGCACCACTTAATTATTATCCGTTGCTTATCGTACATTTTTCTCACGGTAGTCAATGTTGTTTCAGCATTTCAATTTCAATTGAGTTTCTATTCTTTTAAGTTTAAAAGCACAGTAGAGCACACTCTCAAGTAACTTGGTATATTATTTTCGGCTTCAGTGACCTACCAAATTCTACCAATAACCAGTGTGAGAGAGTTAGGATGGCATTTAGATCGGTGTTTCAATATTTCTTTGCTAAAAGTCTGAACTACTGTGATTCCAAAAAGTGATATTTATTGTTTTATACAGACATTTTTCAAGCATTAATACATTGTAATAAGCCTATAGAATTAGCAAGACAATCCAGTCATTATGAAGGTTGAGTCTTCTGATTCCCATCGGAATTCCAGTGTCTTTTATAACTCCAACCATCACTAACTATTCTCAGCAAAATTATTTATAGACCCATCAGTTGTATACGTCCCTGATTCAACTAGCAGCCAAGTCTCTTGCTGATAGTAAAATTTGTAATCAGTGTTATTCACGCCCACTAAACTAGTCTAGGATAAATGTCAATTGTGATAATGTTGTCATAGTGACTAGAAACTACTTAAACTTTCATGAAATTTAATTTTGGAAATCCCCGTCCAAAATTGTGAAACTGAGTTTTTTTTACTAAAAATTTAACCAAATTTCCAATTTGTTTTATCTAATGGGTCATTTTTGTTTAATCCATTGTACATAAAAGTACATTTATTAACCTTTACCAGTAAATAAATAGACTATGCATTTGCAAATATTTGTTTTGCATTATTATTTTTATTATTTTATGAGACTGTTAACACCAGCTCATTCAGTAACTTAATTTCAACTAGCTAACATCTGTATGCATAAACACAAATCAGTAAGGCATGTTTCATTTCAAGTGATATAAGAGTGGAATCTTGGTAAGAATTAGAGCTGGCTAATCTATTTTTGGAAAAGATTCCCATGTCTATTTATGCACATTCCTTAGTGCTGCTTTATAAAAATGCGAATATGATATCTCTTGTAATGAATATTCATAGGCAGTTATTTCTAAAATAAACAACTCTTCATTATTCGAATAAATTTATTTTCTCTATATTTTTGTGTTTTTATAAATCAGATTCGAGGTATTAAATTTTCATTTTGCCTTGTAGAAATGCATTTTTGAGGTATTGTCACACTGATTGAGGACTTCCGCAGGTACATAAACTTAGATCGCTTTGATTTACACTGTAAACAGTTCCATCGTGACGATTAATACGGCCTCTTGAAATGAAATATTCCTTGGATTCAAAATCTTAGCGACATATTTATTTTAACTTAAGAACTACATGGTAAAATTACAAAGGAATCACCCAACAATATTTATTTTCCATAATACAGTAAACTTATTCATTTGAGGCTACTTTAGATATCACCTCAAGAGGCCTTGAAATCTGAGGATTAATGAATGTCTGAGCACATCAAAAAGAAGCGCGTTACAACTCAGAAACTGGACAGTAATCTGAAAAATATGATTTTCTAACTTGATTTTGCTTTCAATTCCGTATGATTAGTACTTATCATTATCAAAGAATATTAGCCCTTAGCTACCGCTTTAATTTACCTGAAAGTTACTTAAGAGCTTTAATTTTCTCAAATATTGGTTTTGTAGGGATTGTGTTTGATTGGTTGGAGGATTTCATCATGAGCTGACATCGGTTAGAGAACCATTGGAAGACCTGGAAATACTGGACAGCTGTTTTGCCCTAGTTTGGAGCACTTCATCAGTACGCACTCACAGAATCTCGGACCAAGGATCTTCTAGTTACAAGGCGAGCTCACAGATCGTTAAGCTAGTGGGACCCAATCCAACGGCCTGTGAATTCTAACTTCTACCAATTGATGACATAGCGTGACCACTAATAAATGTCTTCTTCGATGAGTTACTGCCTCATTTCCAACCTGTTGTACCCTACTGGTTACGGCTTTCCGCTAGAAGGCCAGGTTAACTGCCTGAATAGGGTCAGTGGCTAGTGAGCATCAGATTAATTTTCAAGTATTGGTATTGTAGTTTCTGGTTATTCTGTTTGTTGTTAGGAATTTTTTGGTTTGTGATCATTTTATTGCATCGGTTCTGAACTAACTAAGATTCATAGTACATTTACGAAAAACGCTGAAAAATGATAATTTATTGGCAAGTGTGCCAAACATTAACGGTCTTGATCTTGCACAGACTCTTGAATATATGCTGCTGAAGAATTTCGCACTATCTTGGAAAAAACACTAGTGCAATCTTAGCTGTAAGTGCTTTTCACAGCATTATCACTCCTTGGTCTATTTTTCTTTTTTCCATTTCTTGCTTTCCGAGGAGAATATAGGGCCTCAAGCTTTGGAAGTCTAGTAGCCGTGATGTTTCTTTAATGGACACTGCTGCTAACTTCACGCTCGAAATTCCATCTTTTCCGGGCTCAGAATAGTCAGTAAACTAGGTGAGATTTTGGAGTGAGTCTACCAGGAATGAAACGCGGATCATTTGCATTGAAACAATGACACATCTTTATTTAGTAAGGAAATTCAGTGCCACAGACCTTATTACATGAACAATATTTTTGTAAGAAGATAATGGCAACAAGTATTCAACATGAACCTCATAAGAGAAATGTATAATTTCACAAATCCTGATGTTGAATATTCCTGGCAGTTAACAATTGGATTAAGTTATAAGAGATGATGAATAGTCTCTGCTCGAAATATACTTTTATGTCTGTTTTCACTGATGAATTAAAGTCTGTGGTCTGTAGTACGTTTGTGAGACGATGCCATGCATAAATATTTCCTGAGTAGGCTTAAAACTCTCCAAAGTGATAATACGCGGCAGTTTTACGTCTATATTAAAAAATTTGTGACGTACTAAACAGTGTAATTAAGTTAGCAACTGGATTTAAACTAAACATTCAACGCCATAAAATATAGGTCTAACGTCTTCTCCCAAGCTAGTGACCGGCATTTGTAGACTGAATCTAGTAAACTATTGATATAAGTACCTAAATTCAAAGACAGAAATAAGTCAATTCAATGAATACCTAATCATTATCTCATTAAATAAATACAGGGACAAAAACGATGGGGTATAACATTATCACAACAGTACTGATTTATTATATTTTTACATTTATCAATGGAAATGAAAATATTAGTTTCACATTAAAATATTTGTTAGATTAGATCAATATTCCGAAATTCATGGTTTTTTACAAACGGTCTTTACAAGCAAACAGAGATAAGATGTATTCTTCGCCTGTAACTTTACTTACTGAATTATGCTTAGAAAATCTGGAAAATATTAAACGAAACAGTTTCAGCTGTAAACATGAGATATAAGCCGAATCCTAATCATTTACTTACCATATTTCAAGAATTTCACCAAGGTAAGTTGTATGTTTAAAATGAGTGATTAATCTGATCATGTGTAACTGTCTACTATTAATCTAATTTAGCACACTTTTTTGTATTTCCTTTGCCTCTTTTTCTTAAAAAAGACTATTATTCAAATAATTGGTGTATGAGCATGAAAACCTGTTGTTGTTGTTTTTGTTCAAAATTCATTTCACTTAAAACCACTAGAATCAAATTTTAAAGTACAATAAGACGTTGTTTAAAAGGAAAACAGTTTTAAATATAAATTTATTGTTTTGATTTTATGAATCAGATTTCAGGAAACTCTGTCTGGTTTAGGTTTTGTTTTGTTTGGAATAATCAGTTAATCACATCAATAATAGTGAGGAAATACATGCTTCCTTTAAAATGAAATTTTAAATTAATTATTACTGAAACCATAAACTTCAACTAGTTTTGTCTGTTGTAACAAGTACAACAAGAAACGACGACAATCACTCAGAGCCAGTCATCGAATGGACAGATTTATGTTACTATGAGACTATTTCTTCTAAGAATTTATTAGCGTCTTTCGAATGAGTAAGTTAGAAATCACGTCTTTAGGTTGAATGCAATCTATTTTAAAAACCTCATAATTGTGAGCAGCTACTCAAAATCATTTAAATCTCTCCTGGGAGGAAAAAAGACTGTATATTAAGAGCATATAATTGTCTGCTACTTATTACTCTAATATGTTGTAGAGCACGTGATTGTTAAATACAGATAAATAAACAAGAAAGCAAAATATGTTTGCTGTACATAGTTCATAAAGAGCGCTTTATTAACGTAAACAGCAAGATGAAAAAAGAATCTCTTGCGTTTTGTAAAACTGTCAACTTGCACATATAATCATTCAGATGTAAGGTCAATAAAACAGGCTGCTGGGTCGACCATGTGTAAAGACTTTCTAAAAGGTCATTCACTTTTAATATTTTCCTCGAAATAATAGTGAAATCTTTGTGGGTAGATCAGAAAGCTATTTGAACAAAATACTAACAATGCTTTGGAATTTTTATTCAATATTTTCCCTCTGAAATTGTGAAGATTTCTTATTTTATCCTGTTACTAACCCCTGCACTTGGTGAACAGTATGTATTGCAAACCCTGACACAGAAAATCATCTATGAGGTGGGAAATTCTGAAGCAAAAATATATGTCTTCTTCACACTTTCCTTGCAATTCGTGCTTATCTTTTAAGTAATCGTTTAAAATGAACATAAAAACGTAATTTCTCACTTCTCAACAGAACCATTTCAAACCCCTAAAGGCGAAACATATGTAATATTAGATATTTTATGGTAGAAATAAAGCAGGCTTTCAATCATGCAACAGAGATTTGATACGGAAAATAAAAATTATTAATAAATATCATCAATTTATCATGTAAATGAAAATAAAGATTAACAGTAAGAGATTTATCGTAAGGGCAGAAGACAAGACACGGAAGACAAGGTATATTTCTCATTGATCAAACCGCCATATATATATATTCTTTAACCAATCAGTGAGCGAGTGATTTTGGTCTACATTAAACGACATCTTCAAATATATATAGTATTCTGTTGCTAATGCAGTATTGAACTATGGGAATATGTGAAAAAAATATTCCGCTGAAATACATTGTTTGTATCACACCACCACATTATGACTACGAGAATAATTTCTCTTTAAATCGTAGAACTTTCTGTTCTCTTAGTAATCAAAAGTATGTATAAGAGTGAATTGATACAATCATCTACATTGAAAATAAACAGGAATTGTTGATGCTCTTCACTTACAGAAAGAATGAATAAACTAATTCATGGATGAATGAAACGACGATGTACTACATGAAACCGGCAAAAGAAAGAGATGTAGATCAAAGATCAACCCTTTTCTACAATGGTACAGATGAATATCAAATGGTTGACGGATATGTTGGATTAGAATCATCTACACAAATACGAGTTTAAATTATTGAATGTCAAGACAGCATTTAAAAAAACCAAAAAAAATAGGGCACCGAAAGGAACAATTATAAAAAGAGAAAGAATAAATTATTAAGCGATTCTGAAAATCCTTGAAATTCTTATGATAAGGAATTAATAGATCTGCATCTCTGTAAATATTTTGAATGCATGTTGATAACAGTTTCTCATCATTGATTCATAACATACTACAGAAAATCAGACTATCAGTTCATAACTTCGGTGATCGCTAATATATTTTAATGTATATCTTCATAGCTCTTCTCTCACGAAATCCTGTTACAGTAGAATTTGGTCATAGAAGAGAGTATTTATTTCACATGATGAACATATGCTCGAAAAGCCGTGTAGAAGTCCTTTTTTCTGTCCTTCCGATGTACCTGCTACTACAAGTGCATGTAAACTCATAAACACAATTTAATGTAACATGTGCAGGGTACTTATCCAGTTTAGATTGGCTTATTAAGCTGTACAATAAAACGAACTACGCTGTAATGAAACATCGTTTTAATCTTAATTTTATTCTTTTGTCAATCTTTTAGTCTTGTGAACACTATCCAGCCTGGCTAGTAATAGAATAACGAAAATGTGTATATAGTTCGGTGACAGAAAATCTAGTCAACTCAGGACATTCAGAGCCATTCGAAAAATCCTTCAAAATCAAATACAAGATTCGATCAAAACTCCATTATAGATAAGATTTTATTTTGATAAATCACACAGTGTTGTACAGGAATATTAACTAATTTATCAAAATAAAATCTTATCTATAATGGAGTTATGCTCTACCACAGTGCCCAAGTTTTATACTTATATCAGTAATTTATTTTTATGTCAAATCATCTATCTGCCGACTTTCTAATTTTCCTCCTGACCAAACATGAAATAGTTTAGTTAAATAGCCATTTCTCTCTGCTTTACTGCTTCACAAGGTTAACTAGTTCATACTTTTAAACTGGTTCAAAATTACTATATTGCCCAATGAATTTCCTGGACAATAATCATCGTAAATTATTCATTCATCCGAATACGATATTGTTCAAACGTAATTTGTGGATTCTTTGTATAAATTAGGAATGCTCAACAGTTGGTCGGGGAATAAAGGTTCTAAGCAGAGGCAAACTGCATTTACTAAGTTAATACTAATATAAAGTTGAATAAGTTCATATATATATATATATATCAGCTTGGTGAACCTTCCAACTAAACTGTAAAAAGTTCTCGAATTCATAATGATATCTGGCTAAAAATTGTTGCGCAGTGATTTCTGTCGATAAAATTTAATCTTTTCTGAAAACAAATTTATGCAGTGACAACTGATGAGCAGTTTTATCAGAATTTTTGTATATTCTGTAATTATAAGTTTTTGGAACATGCTTGGAAATACGATTAAGAATGCCTCTTTCCACTCATCTGATATTTGTGTTGATACTTACCAACGGTATAGTATCTTGATATACGCCGTAAGAAAAAGACTATTCGATCTCAAATTGTTTCGGTAGGCACTTTGTTTGATAAGTGAAGACTGTTCGTCTGATGAGAAATTTCCCATTGTTATGGTGTTTCTTTTGTACTTAAATCTTTTATTACATTGAGTAAAGTGTACACAAAGCCATAGAAGACCATATTTTTATCCAAAATGCTTCTGTCATTTTTGGTCGATAGTTCAGCTGTCATCGGCGACACACTATCAACACTCAGTTTCTTCAAACATTTCCCTTACAAGCTGTTTGTTCGATTAATCGAGAAGTACTCTTACCTATTCTCTAATCTTACGAAACCAAAACTATTCAATTGAAAGTACAGTGAATATCTTCTTTAACTGGAATACACGAACTACCGTTTTCCTCTCTATTCAGACAAAAAGCAACCCACTGGCTATCTCAAGGGATTCATTCATTTTCGGGCGACTTGACATAAAATTAAAATGACTACTGAATAGTATACAAATACTTACGCTACGTATTACATTTCTAGCAGATTCCAGATAGTAGACGCCTTAAATGCAAACTATGCTAGGATTCAGGTAACAAAAACGGAAAAGAATACTGAATTTCTTATCGGCCTAAAGTATAAAAGTCCATCAGGAATAGAAAATGAATTATATCAATATACTATAAAAAGTTTGGAAAGGTGGAATAAGATGAAAAAAGATGTATTAACAGTTGGACAGTTAACTAGTGAAGATATAGGGGTACATTGTTAGACGTCTAAAACATCTAATGGGTTTAACTAACCTTCAGACAGTTTGCCAGTCGAAAACAACCATCAGAAAATTAAACAATGCGCAAGCGGAAAAACCAAAAGTGCATCATTATCTGAGCACCTATTTGAAACGTAACGTAAGGGTTTTGGCTGCCACTGGTGACACCATGACAACCACTTACTGCCTCAGTGTGCTCGTGGTTGTCGTCTGAGTGACCACAGTAGATTACTGACCCACCAGTTGACAATTTCGACAGTCTACATCCAATCCATCTGCTCCCACAAATTCCCAGCACTTCTATATCATATCCTCACATTTCTTTGGATACCTGGGCAGCCTTCCCAGTCTCGTGCATTACACGCACATTCCGAGTCCACATTTTTATTCTTGCTTTCATCGAGGGAAGACATATCGGCTGGCCCAACCCACATCATTTCGCCTCTCCAACTCTAGCGAAGAATAAGTTTGTTGTTAGAATTTCTTGTATTTTTAATATATTTTTTGAGTGGTTCTGTGGGGTAAGGTCACTAACCCCACGCGCAGTCCTCCCTCTTTACTCGGGCTTGAGATCGAAACTAGGTGAGGTTATTTAGAAACTCCTACCAAATAATAATTGAATATGGATTGTATCCCAAATACAGAAAAGGACGCTTACCGAATAAGCTCTTCAGGTATGGCCATGTCAGAAAGAAACTGACTCAAATTACTACGAACAGCCTACATAAAAATAAAATAATAGTTTACAAATCTTAACCACGGTTTTTTGTCATGTGAACACAATAAAACACTTGATCAACTATCTGGATCACACCCGGTGTGGTGATATCCAGTTGTGAAGGCCAAAAAGTCAAAAGTCAGTGATCGATAAGCAAGGAATTACAACTACACAAAGCATTGCACACGTACAAAAAATTCAGAAACATAAAAGTTTGGGAACTTCAAAATACAGTTGTTGATGCAGAGAACTTCAGCTTACACACGGTGTCTGTTCCTAGCTTCTGCTTTATTTTCCGAAGTTATTAAATTTCCATCGTTCTAAAAGACTCATTTACCATGGCTTTTTCTTGACACGTTTATTTAATAAGTCTACATAGTTGATCAGGGTCATACATTGTTGATACCTTTCCCGTTTCTTGGGGTTTTTTATCCAACCCTTTGAGGTAGTCGCAACGATCTTCAATCAACCTGCATTTGAGCATCTTTCGCTCAATGTGCTGTTCTGAACCGACCAGTTTTAGTTGGGATACGGTTACATGAAGGTGTTGGCATTTCCTAATTTTTTACGGAGAGTTATCCACTATCTTCACTACCATTCCTACAGAAAACTGAATATATTGCCAAGCTTCCCAATGAATATTGCACAAATTAATGTGTGTAGTTAATTCTTCCTTAAATACAGAAGTCACATTTTTGTCGTAAAATTCAACACGTGCAGGCTTGCCACAACCATCAGAACGCATGAATACACGTGCACAGGCTAACACATGATCATCACCCATGCAGATATCTTAGGAAGCGTAACAGTCTTCTACCAGTCTCGTTCATAGATAACGTATTACAAAAGTGCATGTTTGTGCCGATCGTTGTCTTGATTTTGACTTGAATATGTTTATCCCTATGTTTAGAGTTAGTGCTGTCCAGGAGTATATAGTTCTCTCAATAAAACTGCAAGAAAATCACCTTAACCCACTCGTCGGTTTAGAATGCTACAGATACCTAAATATGCTTCTCTCAATGCTTTCCCTACCTTGGCATTCAAACCACCTATTAACACGGTTATACTTCAGTGTTTGGCTTTTTGCTTCAAAATGGACAACTTATGATAAAACTCATCCTTCAATTCGTTTGGACTACAACCAATGGTGTATAAGCGGAGATTGATAAAAGGAACAGACGACATTCACTGTCATTATTACGGAACAGATCAGCCGGATATTACACAAATAGCTGTTTACTAGGACAGTCAGGCACTAAGTTTTCTACTCTTCAGCTATGTGCTGTCACCACACCATGAGAATTAGCCAAAAAAGCTACTGACGCATGAAGGACGAATCTTGTATATTCATCACTGGATGGGCGAATGCGATGTTAATAAGCACATTTTGATCTGTTATATATGTCCTATAAGTAAAGCAAACATTCGAAACCTAAGATTTCAATTTTGTTCAGTAAAACTTGGTGTTTTCTTCACCTTAAGTTTGGGAATTTAAAGGTTCATTTCGAAGTTGATATTGTGAACAGGGATGCTGTTTCTCTAGTATAAGTAGCTGAAAATAATAAAGAAGTTAACAATAGATTGAGATATTGTATGAAGACTACTAGTATTCGGAAGTAAGCAAGAAAAAAGCGGGCGATGAACTAAAGCATTGTGTGCTCTAATGGAAAAATATGGGTAGGTGTTATATCCAAAGCGATTTCTTCTTGGAGTACCTGACATAAAAAGCAGTTGTTTTGATTGGCCACAGAGCCAGAGAGACAACTGCTTCACACTGGATTGATGAAAATAATCCGTCACAGCTGCAACATTCCTATTTGCAAGCAGTACAGCTTTGACTTCAGACTCCCAATAATGTTCATTGCTTACCTTAGGGTGGTAGCAGTTTTTAGTCTAACCGCTATTCAACCAACATTTTGGGATGAGAGAAACTACAGAAACATTCTTTTTAACCAGCTGTCAGTTAGGCAACAGCATACAGGATACCCAAATATCACTCAGTATATGTGTATATAAATTGTTTGCATCAAATGGTGAGACGAAACAAGGAGAGATTGTAACCTTATTACTTATTTCAGAAGCATTTTCTAAATATCCAATGAGCAACAAATATCTAACACCTTAGTTAAATACAAAACTTCAACATACACGACTTTCACATTTTGAAAGAACTAGTTCGGATTAATATCAGTATCCCCAATAATTACTGCAGCCAATTTTAAGGCGAATTAGACCATCACTTCAATGTAACTATAAGTCTATATCAACCTTATTGAATCAGAAAGACTGAATTTCTCACTCCAGAAATACTGTATACTACAGTTGCAAGTCCTAACTACAAAGTTATTCATGATCCAACGTGTTTAAGTACAGTACAGTGAGACGAAAATAAAACTAAAATTGTACCTGTCTGTTTTGCAGCCTAGTATTCATTACCAATGATTTGCTCTGTAAATCTTGAATTTCTGTACTGATTGCACCCAGATCTTCATGAAAACTCGTTAATATACCCTCAATTCTCTTAATTATTATAGGAATATACACAACATCGTCATACCTCCAGGATAGAATCACAAGCGGAAATCTGATTATGCAAACTAGCCACTTCAGGACTGACTGTTATATCTATTGGTATTTGAATATTTGAATCAAATAATATCTACATGTTTTTACGAGCGATTCCTCTATCTTCGACAACTCCGACTCCACTTGGGCGGCATAATCCCGTACATCAATACCCTAGAATTTTGGAACATAAAGATTTATTGACATACCGATTTTAGAGCGATTTCCTCTATTTCTGTTTTCAATGACTCCGGAAAAGTGACTGAAGTTACATTGAGCTACCAAGAAAATAACTCACCATCAACATCCATTACTCAAAACAGCAATTAAGAGGCCAAATTTAAGCGGACTATTGGTTGTCTAAATCCATCAAATATTTGGTCACTTTATCTTCCTATAGTTTGAAATTATAAGGAAAATCAGAATCTTCAACAATGAGGTGTGAATAAGGCGTAAACAAAATAAGCTTCAGATTTAATCCAAGTACAACTTTAATTTCGAAAATGTTACTACTACTACTACGTCCCACCATGTCAACTTCTTACTACAGGTTAATCGACGAAGTAGCACTATTTTTGAAGACTAAAGCAAGGTTTGCCAGGTCGTGAGCCATATAACTATTATGAGTTGATGTTGATACCCAGTTACTCAGGCAAAGAAAGCACAGCGGGATCTATAGATTGAAAGTCGAGTGTTCAAGCTAATTTACCAAGTTCAGTTAGAATGAACCTCCATATATCCAGCGACAGCAAACTACTGAGTGGAAAAAGCGTGTTAGCAATACATCTGTGAATGGCTTCTAATTTTAGATTTCGGAATAAAAACGAAAGCATTAGTGTGGTAGGATTTCCAATGTCCTCATCTCCCTTTGCAAGTTTATGAAAACTCCGGAAATTGTGGTTCTAGAAACATTTTTGCTTACCTCAAAATTATGATTAATATATTAAGATTTCAGAATATCTACAACTCAACAAATGAATTGTGTAGTCAGTAAAACCCCGTGTACAAGCGATGAAAATTGAAATCACATTATCAACTGAAGTGAGATAATCTTTTTCATTTGGTAATACTACACTTTACATACTAACTTTAAGTAGGTCAGACCGGCGACTACTAATGTACAAAGTATTCAGTTACGAAACATATGGAGATAAACAACAATCAGTAACCATGTTATAAAAATTGGGAAGAACATAAGTTATTCATTAAAATAACTGATAACTATAGCAGCCCCAAACGAAACTACCTAATGAACGAATTGATGGCCTTGGCAGATTTGTTAACAGAAATTGGTTTAACTTAACTATGAGGACTTCTGTGAGAAACTAGGAGGTTTTCTTCGAACATATACAAGAATATCATCCTATGTAACCAATTTTTAACATTGCATTACTTGTTTATAGGCGTCTATTTCGAATTGCACACTTCTACATTTTGCGAATCTGATTGGTCTCTAGAGGTACTTTCGAAACTACCTCTAGCGACGATCGTTTTGGGCTGCCATAGTTTATAGTCATCAGTGCATCAGGATATAGGGCAGATTTCTTCAGAACAAATTATGGTTATCCGCATACTTATTACACTATAATAATTCGGGAACTCACTGAGTGAAAATAAGGAAGCTTGTAAAACACCTCGTTTTAATTTAATAGCGTTAAGCTTGAACGTCCCGCGTAACGCGTACTTCGGAAGCCAGAATCGATTAAATTGGGTATTCTAAACCAAATAAACTTAATTGAATCCGAACGAAGAATATTCTTTTCAATAATTTCTCTTCAGGTTCTTACAATTATAAAATATAATATTTGTTGTCGTTACAATAAAGGCCAGTTTTGCGGCAGATACATTTTTAACGTAGAATAACAGATTAGTTATGGGATGTCAAAATAAATAGTCGTATTTGTGTGACAAACGTGCTAGGCTGAATTCGATTACAAAATATTGCAAAACGGGAGACAATGTTGATTAATCATAATAGATTTGTAGAGTGTGGGGTAGGAAAATTGACAAGTCAGTTCAGTCAAGGTTATAAAAGGTGTCAGGTGAGTGGCTAGTACAAAGTGGTCTGTGTTAAACAGGAGATAGTAAGACTGCAATTGGAGGTTCATAATGAGATAACGAATATGTGAAATGAAACAGGTGGAGGCATATATTGAGAAATGAGATAATATCACTAATAATAAGTCCGGATAGTATAAACGACAAAAATAATTCGATAGTATTGAGAGAATGTTTGCATGAAGGGCATAAATTATGACGAATAATAATAATAATATTAATAATAATAATAATAGTAATAATTGTAATAATAAGCAAAGGAAAAAAAAAAGCCAAGAGGGTTAAGGGGAAGGAGCACTCTTGGTGAGAAGAAGAATCATCAATCCAAGTTTGGCCACGGTAGGAACAGCGTCTAGACGTGTTCTTTTTGGATACAAAGTTCCGGTTTAGTCGATCTTATTGCAACAGCTTCAGCTATGTGTAGAAGACGTAAGCGAACTGTACGTGATAACGACTTTGGAATTCGGTATATAACCCTGAAAGCTGAATTGACATCGATATGATGTCCAGTATCAACCAAGTGTGACAGGATCGAGCTTTTTATGCACTTAATTTCCCCCTGCTGAACCAAGCTGGTAAATGTTCTCGAACCCGTAGACGAACCTGCCTAATGGTGCGCCCTATATAACTTGAACCACAGGAATAGTTGAAATGGTATATGCATGAAGAAGAGCTAAGATTAGGTAAGACATCTTTGAGTTGCTTTGTGAACATTGGACGGCTACTGAAGGATAGACACAGACGTGCAGAGTAGAAAGTTTTCTTGATCGCCCTGGTTAAACGTTGCGATAGAATCTCCGCAGGAGTATCTCCCTTGAATTGGAGACGTAAAAACAGAGGCTTTTTCTCCACCGTTGTCAGTTCATGTTTACGGCTATTGTAACCTATGATTGCTTTAATGAACTTCTCTGGATATCCGTTCTCACTTAGAATATCTCGGATGACCTGGAGTTCTTTCTCTACACAGTCTTCGGAACAATGCTAAGCATGTGATCAGATTACGTTTGTATTTCATCGGCACAAAGCTAAGGAAGTGTGTATACTGAGCTTTGGTCTCTAGCTTTCTAAATATGGTTCTTTTGACGGAACCATCCTCTCTTCTCGTTAGTAGGACGTCGAGGAAGTGTAGAGAGTCGTTGCATTCTCCTTCGTAGGTGAAATGGACCGCTGGGTGAGCATTACTGAAGTTGCTCAGAATCAAATCACTACTTAACCCTTCATGGTACACTACAAAAGTGTCATCCATGTAACGACAATACATTTCCATATTTGCTATTTCCTCTTTCAACGGACTATTTTCTAGTTTTGCTAGAAATATATTCGCGAAAATAGGTCCCAGCGGGGATCCCATGGCTACTCCATCAATCTGTCTGTATATTTCATTATTAAACAAGAACTGAACATTTGCTGTACATTTAGCAAGTAGTTGTTTCAGATTACTAATCGGAATATCAGTGCACAATTTCTTTTCTATAATCTGTTCGCAGATATAGTCGATGGTTTCCACTAGAGGCACATTAGTGAATAGAGATGAGACATCAAGTGATGCCATGTATTTGCCAGCTGTGTTCAAGTTTTTGATCTTATCAATAAATTGAAAGGTATCCTTGACGCTATGCTTTACTAATTCGTCATGCAAGGGTTGAAGTAGCTGTACCAGCCACTTCGCTGTCTCGTGATAGGGTGAATGAGACATGTCTAGTATGGGGCGTAGGAGTACTCCTGATTTACGCACTTTCGGTAGACCATACATGCGTGAGATGGTGCTGCCTGTGGGTTTTATGTTTTCGAAAATCTTTGGTGATATATACCCCTTACTCTTCAAATCCTTCAATAAGTTTGTTATTTCTTTCTCTACTTTCTCCGTATGATCTTTCATTGCTTTCGGCTTCTGAAACTTGCTGCCGTCAGCTAGTATGGAGTTCATCTTGTTGATGTAGTCCTGCCTATCCATAATGACTATCCCCGGTCCCTTATCCGGTCTCGTAATAACTATGCTTTCATTTCGTCTTAGTTTTTTAACAGCTTCTCGATGTGCTTTTGTGAGTATACTATGGGGCTTATTCTTGTCCTTCTGTCTATACTGATAGCAACAGTCTACCAGGATTGATTTGAATCTTTCTAGGTCCTCATCAGAGGAGGCGACCAAGTCCCCTGTTTGTATATAGAAGTTCTCGAACTGTACATCGGTGTCAATCTGACTAATCTCCGTACGAAAATCGCAAAACTTAGGTCCTAGAGATAACGCTTCAAGTTGTAGTTTGTCAAGAGTCACGCTAGAAAAGTTATGCACGTACCTTTCGGGATTAGCAGGAAATCTACATTCGGGAGTTCGGCTTTCTAAGCCTTTCACAAGTTGTGTTCGTTTTTTCGAGGAATTTGATTCGGCGATTTCATCGACATATTCCATAAATTGTAGTCTCATATCCTCTGGAAGGTCGAGAAGTGCATAATTCCGTTTTGATATATTTAATTCCAGTTGTGTGATGTCAGACTGTATTGATTCAAGCTGATTAAGTGCATGTCGTCTTAAAGTCATTTTACTTTGTGGTATTCTGTTTCTACGTAATGATTTCCAATAGAGTTTAGGATATCAATTTTTCTGCCGCATAACTGGCCTTTATTGTAACGACAACAAATATTATATTTTATAATTGTAAGAACCTGAAGAGAAATTACTGAAAAGAATATTCTTCGTTCAGATTGACTTTTAATTCATAATATGGGAATTTTCCACACTATCAAATCTTAATTGAATCCTCTCATTAATTGTGAACTAACTTTCAGTAGATTTAAAGGGAAACTGAAAGACTAGCTTGTATTTCCTATTCACATTCAGTGGAGGATGAATAGCTTTCTGCATGTTTGACTAAACCACCCTTCTTAACATTCATAACTATGTGCTAGAAATACGCGTTTGGCTGGAACCATCCTTATAGTTGATCTGCTTTGTGAGTCGGCACTACTAGCTAACTAAGCACATCACAGAGATATTTAGATTATATACATGCATTCACAGAGCTTTGTAATCTCAACCTTGAATGCTTACTAACATTTGAAACTAATCTGCCACGCATTGTGTGTCGCAATACTCGGCATTACCTGTCCGTTGTGGGTTTCAGATTACTCCTTCTTAATCAATTCCTGTTAAACCCTTAAAATGTTCCTTTCTATCACCTCTTAAGTAACAGCATTTTAGCGGGCTCTTAACCGTGCATTCCCCTTGTTGCTGATGACACTTATTTGGTTTGGT